ATGATGTGATTGTGATGCTGTATTTCTGAGTGTTTTATGTGCTGCAGAACAGGAACCTGCTGTAAAACAGCAATTATGCTGAGTCAGGCTTGATTTTTAGTAATCTTTTCCTGTTAAATCAATAAATCAAATCAAATCAAATCAYGCGTGACTWTAATAGCCTTTCTTACTTAATGGAAACACCGCAGTTGCAAAACAGCTGTTTTTCGACATTAACAGAATATCGACAAAGTTTTACGAACATTTGCAATGGAAACGCAGCTACTGAACAGATTAACTGTTTGTCATCTTTGCACTGATCCTCACTTTAATACTTCATACATCTCTGGACATATTAGTGTTGTTGTATCAGACCAGTTGGATTTTAGGTTTAAAGGGGCAATATCATGTAAAATCAACTTTTTTGAGTTTTATATCATGTTATAATGTTATACTCTCATAAAAAAACATGCCCAAAGCCTTGCTCTGACTCACTCATGCATGTTTGGGAAATCCTGCAGCGTTTTTAGGAAACCATGCTGAGGAGCAAAACGACAGGTGGGGACCAAAAACACCTTTTGGTACCAGAAACACCCCTGGGACGTGTCTTTAAGCCGAACTTCCTCATCACAGAGCACAACTCCCCACCCACCAACCCACACACTCCGCCCTTGACTCTTGCAGGCTCTAGGCAGTAACAGAGCAAACTGAAAGTGAAACTTAACAGTCTGCTGCTCTTAACACTATTTCTCACTCAGTGAAGCTCTTTTCAGATTCAAAATACCTTTGAGGAAATGTATTTTCAGATGGCTAGTAAAGCTAACTGCATCATAGCGCACGCGCGAGCTCCCCGTGCGCGAAACCCCCCACTAAATGGGACGGGACAGAAGCAGAAGGTGGTTCTTAAATGGATCCCCGATTAGTTGTAACATTAGACTTTATATGATAAACATATACTTTAACTGTAAAATAAAGACTGCAAAAATACTGTAGGCTGTTTAGTTTTTATCATTTTTAAACTAAAATTTTAAAATACATTACACGGACGGGGCCATTTTATTTACATGCAAAGCATTCTGGGTAAATGATGACATCAACTAGGTCATC